TGTGTGTGTAGGGGTGGGGTGTTTCTAAACGGTGCACAGGAGGCCCAGGGGCCTCACTAGTGATTCTTAGCCAACCAGGCCAGCTGTTCAGTGCAAGGGGTTGAGCATGCAGCTGCATTACTTGGACCACCCAGGAGTATTCAGTGACCTCCAGGGCCACATGTGGTGCTGGGGACTATGTGGTGCTGAGGACTATGTAGTGTTGGTGATTGAACCTGGGCCTAGCATGTGCCCTGACGGCTGGTCTTGCAGAGACTTACAACTTCCTGGTCTAGCAGAGTAGCTTGATTATATTAGCAGCATACACACATAGACATGTACCCTGGAGTCATTTTCTTGTACCCCTCTAAGTATACGGGGAGTTTTATGGAGAATGGGAAATCTCAGCAGAGGTGCACCTAGGGCAGGAGAGATGACCCCTAGGGCAGAAGCCCATGCTTTGTATGGGGGAGCTTTGAGTTCAAGCTGCAGCACTGCATGGTGGTCTGAACACCATGGGGAAAGGCCCTTGGGCACCAAGCCAGGAGTAGGTCCCCTTCTAGCCAGTAAAAGCTAAAAACAGAAAAACAGAAGACAGGTGCACTTCAATTTGCATGTTTGTAAGAACCTTTTTTGTTTTGTTTTGTTTTCTAAGAAAATGGCCCAGAGCTTTCAATCATTGGAATGAAAAGAATCAGTGAACTCAAACAAGGGACAATAAAAAAGGAGGATCACAGAAGAGCACTTTATCTTTTACTCTTTTGAGGGGAGAGGTTTGGGTCCCACTTGGTGCTCAGGGTTTACTCTGGGCTTGTTCTCAGGGATCACCCCTGGTAGTGTTCAGAAGACTAAATGTGGTGTAGGGAATCTAACTGTGGTTGGCCTCATGCAAGTTAAAAGTCTTATCCTCTGACTCATGCTACTCATTTTTATCATCAGAAAGACTTGCCAGCTCTACGATGAAATTCGATGCATGTTTCCTATCAAGCCAGGTGAACACATAACGGCAAATCAAACCACTGCATGAACACAGGGCACTGGACAGACCAATAAATAAGATCTCTTACTTTTCTTCTTGGGTTTGACTGGCTTTGGGACACAGGTCAAAAAGCCCAGATCAGAAAGATTCCGTTTAGCTACTAAAAGTTCTAGAGATGTATAATTAGGGCAGCCTCCACGTCAGGCTGTTTTCACTTGGGGCGCCCCAGAGTGGGGCGGGTGAGAGCCCTCCCTGCTCCAAGGGACCCAGCCCTAGCAGCCGACCTCCACTAGCCAACTGCTGCCACTCTCCAGGCTACTTCAGTTGCCACGTGACACATTATACAACACTTTCTAACCATTTTCCATAATTACCACACCATATTTGATGGGGTTCAGACAGTAGGCAAAAAATAATAGAGAAATATATAAATATATGCCTCTCGGAGACCCCGGCAAGTTACTGAGAGTATTCTGCCTGCACAGGCAGAGCCTGGCAAGCTCCCCGTGGCGTATTTGATATGCCTAAATCAGTAAAGACAACAGGTCTCATTCCCCTGACCCTGAAAGAGCCTCCAATCATTGGGAAAAAAACGAGTAAGGAGAGGCTGCTAAAATCTCACGGGTGGGAGGAATGGAGACGTTACTGGTGCCAGCTCGAGTAAATCGATGGACAACAGGATGACAGCGATACAGTGATAATTAGGGCAAGAATTTCCTTGATACCATTATACCAAGGTACAAAGTACAAGACCTAAAAGCTTAAACCTTGATAGCTGAGATCAGGACTTAGTTATCTGCTTCTGTTATTTTGCAGAATAGCTCTTTTAAAAATTTTTTTAAAAAAATTGTTTGGTGGTGGTAGTTGAGGGTGGGGTGGGGGTGTGTTTCTAAACGGTGCACAGGCAATCTGAGCTTAGTCAGCTAAAGCAGGCCTCAGAAGCGCTAGATGATTTGGGGGCAAAGGATCAGTGCTGTCTCTGACTATTCCCTGCAGAAAATGGTGGTGAGTGAGAGAGACAAGGATGATGGACTGAGAACAACTGTTTCTTTCAATTTAGCTGGAGACTCTTCAGGGAAAATGCTCATCTTCCTAACCACGTCAATTAGGCAAACACTAAAAACTGCCTGCTGCTCTTTATGCTGATAATGTCAGGGAAGAAAGCAGCTGATGTCATCCTGGAGAAGGAATTAATATCAAGAGTCCCATTTTATACTATAGGAAGGCCTTTCCCTCATTTTCCACTCTCGCTACATTGCAGAGGCCTGAAGAGGAAGGGCAGGCCATTAATTATCAAAAAAGATCAGAAAAAGAAAACGTTCAGAGGAATAGAAACAAATTTTGGAAGCAGTACCCTACTATTGTTTGAAAAAGAATTTTTCAACATTTAGCTGGAGTATCTTCTAATATAATAACTGGAGTCTCTACTGAGGCTGGGAGATAATCATCAGTGTCACTTACATCTAATTGTAAACAATAATATACATGGGCCAAAGAGAAAGAACAGAAGGTTAGGAACTTGCATTATATGCGGCTGCTTTGGTCAGTCCTGGTTTGAATTCCCGGAAATGCACTGCAAGGGATAACTCCTGAGCACAGAGCCAGATATATCCCCTGAGCACCACTGGAAGTGGTCCTCAAATCTCCCCAAAAAATAAATAATATGTACTCAGTATTTTTAAAAAAATGACAGAAAAGCCCACCTATTCTTCACCCACAATGAATGGAAACATTCTCAGGGAAATTATTCTTTGAGGTCTGGAAGCAAGAAGACATTCTGGGTTGTGCCAATAGTTTAAATACCAAGAGGTAGCTGGCCAAGAAGGTGCACAGACATAAATCGAGCAGTGGCACTGATGTAATTATGGGCTTAGATGATTCCTAGAGCCAGACCGGAAGTTGAACCACAGTCCTTATGGGAAAAGAGAGCAGTATAGAGGCAATTTGAAGAAAAAAGTTGAGAAAAGGTATTTTATTAAAAAAAAGAAATAAAAAAGCAACCAACCCCCCTTAAACCTCTAAATAAAACTTCATGCCTGCAGAGGGTGTCTTAGCCTTGGACATGTATGAAACAGGAGGGAGGGAGGAAGGGAGGAAGGCAGGGGCCACACACATGAGCCTTTAGCAATCCACTCCCAGGGGCCAGGACCTGGAGGAGAAGCCCTGAGATCCATGTGACTTGTGCACATCTAGAACAGGGATCTCTGGAGAGAATTTCAAAAGCACAGAACATATTTGTGCTCCCTTGACTCTGCTCTCTAGTGTTTCTCTCCTTCTGTTATTGTTTAATTTTGCGGTTCAACATTTTGAAGAATGGTGGGAGGTAACCGTGTTAAGCAATACTCTAAGAATGAGGTTCAGCTGCAGGCCAGAACTCAGCCTCCCACATCTTTCAAACCCATTGTGATTCCACTGAAAACAAAATGGAAGGAGGAGAGATGGGAGCACAAGCAGGAACCCATATTTCTGCCAATCTGGGCAGTACTTTTGACTGGGACAGGGATGTCCATGAAAGGGAACTGGCCACTGGGTATCAGTAGAAACGCTATCAACTGGAAACTCGACGCTGTTTCCAAATGGGAGCCCAGAGACAAGGCATGGAAGGGGCACCAAGAGCCAACTTGTGTTGATCCTTGTGAGTCTATTAAGCCAAAGTTATTAAACAGTCAAATATGGGCAGCAAAATTATCCTGAAGAAGGGGATCAGTGTGGAGCACTACAAAGATTTGGTCAAGAGATTAGTCAGGAACTAAGGCAGAAGCACATTTTGAAAAGCCCAAGGATACTGACGTGCAAATGAGGAAGTCCAGAAAAACTAGCTAACCATCTTTTCTTCAAGATTAAGAACTTGACATAATTAATATTAAGTACCTGTCCAAAACATTGCCCAAGAACTTTAAAGCATATTATTAACATGTGGCTCAGGAAGGAAAAAAAATTAAATCAGCAAAACAGATTTGAATTCTGGGAAGAATAAGCGATTCATAATTCTCTGAGTAGAATATAATTTATAGGCTGAAATGATGTTTATGAAGGACACTTACTTAGAAGCACCTAAATTACATGCTATAATGTATTTGTTAATCCATAAATAGGCAACATCTATCAGGAATGCTGAATAAGTCTGGAGACAATATTGTGCAGAGGATACTTAAATGAATAAACTCCAGTCACCAAAATGGCTTAAGGAGTATAACACTGTTCTATTGGCAGTGTGTTTTTAAAGAAAGCAAAAGCAAATATTACAGTTTTAAAGATAATATTAACAACATAGATTCTGAAGATCCTTTAGAAACTGCTAAAATTTTATCCCATTGCAGGAGAAAAAAATGTTATCCTGGACCTAATCTGACATGCTAGCGTGATCCACTACGTAGATAACTCACAGGGAAATCTTCAGGTTTTACAGATACTGGAAGGGCAGAATAATGAACAGGCTTTAAATTTTAGGAAGACATGATTTAAACAACTTAGACAAAGGGGTGGAGAAAGACTTTGGACAAGAAGTACAGCAATGTTAGGAGGTCAACAGTTTATGAAACTCCACAATTCCATGGGTTAGATTTTGAAAGCTCAAAACATTTTATATTAGTATATCGGTATGTTATAAATTATAGGGCAAAGGAGTGCACAGTTAGTAACTATTTTCCAGAGAAGTAATTTTTCACAAAAATGGTCAACTATTTGGAAAACACACTATCTAGCATCTTCTTCATGCTGTTCTATCACAGATTCGTAGTTGAAATATAGAAGACAGAGACTACAGAAATAAAACCATGAAGAGAATCAATAGTGAACACAGAAAATGACAAGAAACCTGCTGGCTACAATTATGAACAGTAAGTCATCAGTATGTTCAAACACGATTTCAAAATTCTGCTAGTAATGCTGTCCCAATTTGGGATCTTGGAGTCTTTAGTGATTGAATTCATAAACCACTTGACATTTACAAGTACTGGAGAGTAATTTCAAGCAATGTTAAGCCTCAAGAATTTAGAAACAAGCGCTTGATTGAGATCTAAAAATATTAAGGGGAACTTACCTGCAGCAAATAACAGCTTTGCAAGATAAGGCCAAGTCCAGGAAATACTGTCTTACTCCAAAAGTCAAGGCATACTTTAGGGTTTTCCCATCGATGATAAGGGCAAAGTCATTCTCTTTCTGAAGAGCATCACCCAAGGCTGCACAGTGTCGAGTGAGGGTTTCCCTCGTTCCCTGTGAAATAAAACAACAGACAAACATTGACCTCAAAATGGTTTTTTTTTTTTTTTTGCTCTTATTTGTTCCACAAGGATGCCTCAAGGATGCTTGTAACTACATTTGGTTATTTTTTGTGCTTTTTGTGTCTCAGATGACTTTTATATACTGCCACTCATGAGCTTTTTATGAATGTCCCATGACGGAGATTGGACAGATAGTAGGCAACACACTTAAAGTTATACATCTATACCTAGTAGGGCAGGGACTCGATCAAAAATTCCTTGTTCCTCTGGAATCTTTGCTCCTGAGCCCAGCCTCATAATCACACTATGATAAAAACAGTCACAGTAAACTGTTTGGTTCGAGAATAACCAAACTGGGGCTGAAGCGAGCAATAGTACAGTGGTAGGGCGCTTGCCTTACAAGCAGCTGACCAAGGTTCCACTGCTGGCACCACATATCGTGCCCTGCGCCCCATCAGGAATGCTAAGCTAGGAGTAAGCTCTTAGCACTGCCAGGGGTGGTTCCACAATAAAAACAAGAAGAAACAAAAAAAGAATAACCACATTGTCCAAATTTGCGAACTAGTTTAAATCACCATGAATCAAAGGAGAAGCACTGGAGAATTATTTGTGGGTATTCTTTCAGAAGTACTCAATGGTACTGAAACATAATTCCTAGTAACCACGAGGAGAAAAGGAAGATACTGCAATCTCTTGCCACCTCAAGAATTAGCTTCTATAAGATTAATCATTGGGGCTGCAGCAATACCACAGCAGGTAGGGCATTTGCCTTGCATGCGGTCGACCTGGGTTCGATTTCCAGCATCCCATATGGTCCCCGAGCACCGCCAGGATTAATTCCTGAGTGCATGAGCCAGAAATAACCCCTGTGCATTGCTGGGTGTGATGCAAGAAAAAAAATATTAATTATCATTTCATGATGCTGTATTTTAGTTGAGAATGGTGGCTAGGTCATCTTGAAAAAATAAAGGAATCCAGTCCATTCATAAAGAATCACTATCGGATACAATTAAAGCCTTTCCTGTCAAGGAAAGTTGGACTTAAGTCAACCCTACACAGCAATAATTACATTTGTCTCCCTCAATCAAGAACAACTTTCCTTCTTTAGAGGAAAAAGGTTTCAGGATATTTTGCTTTTCTTCCCTTAGGACTCTTCCTCTAACCAAATGGCGAACAAGTTTCCTGTCCAAGAGTCCTATTTCAGGAAGACACAGGGGCTTGAGTACATGCTTTGTAAGCCAGAGGCCCGGATTCCAGTCCTGGCACTGCACAGTTCCCCAAGTGCAGAGCCAGAATACTAGTCTCAGCACAGAGAAACATCAGGAACAGCTGACCTCCAGTTACAGCTTAGCTCTGAGTGCTAATATCTGAGCATGTAATTATTCAAATGAGAAACAAAAATATATGTATGTCAATACTCAATGGGCCTATAATAAAAACAACACTTATGGACTCATTTGTATTATTTAATAAGCCTATGATAAAACAATCCTTAATGACCAATGTATTATCTTCATGGAAGATATCATTACTGTTCCAATTTAAGGAAGTGATACAGTCCTTTCACTGTTATTTCATAAAGAGGGGAGCAAAGGCATCAGTGGTTAACATTTTATTTGGGGAAATTTTTTAAAGGTGTTTCTGCATTTGCCTTCATGTGTGGCTCATAGTACGTTCTGGTATTTCAGAGGCTGGTCATCAAAATAATAGAATATGTTGTACTGGAAGGTAAGTCTACCCAACCCTCTAAAATCTGGAAATCACTTAACACTTTCACTGCTCCCTGATGACACTGTGACACAGGGGACCACCATACAGAGGCATTCTTGGTCTATTTTTATGCTAACACTTTACATCATGGGGGGGGGGGGAGTAGCTGGTTTAATTTTCAGGCACCACCGTCCTATTTTCTGCTGCGAAAGTTATAACCAGGAAGACATAAGAAGGTGAAAAATATCAACGTGGGCCATGCCCACAAACTGATTCTGTTGCCATATAAGCTCATTTACAGCCATGATCCAGAGACTCACAAATAAAACTTGGAAGAGAGCCACAAGCTGCAGAGACACTTCTGAATCCCAGTCATTTTCAGTTTATCACCCTATCTACTCCACAGATGTACCAGGAGGAGCAGACAGCACTTAATAGGTTCAGGTAGAAGGCAATGAATCTCAATCCAAAAATAAATGAATAAACAAAAATTAGCACAGAGGCTCAACATGTAGCACTGTACTATAGTACTGTCATCCCGTTGTTCATCAATTTGCTCAAGCGGGCCCAGTAACGTCTCCATTGTGAAACTTGTTACTGTGTTTGGCATATTAAATACGTCACGGGTAGCTTGCCAGGCTTTGCGGTGCGGGCGAGATACTCTCAGTAGCTTGCCGGGCTCTCCGAGAGGGGTAGAGGAATCGAACCTGGCTTGGCCAGGACGGGCCACGCACAAGGCAAATGCCCTACTGCTGTGCTATTGCTCCAGCCCACTCATGTAACAACATGTTAATAATCTTTTATACAAGGGCTTAGTGGCCCTAGGATGAGATACAACAATCTTCACACATTCTCTTCTAAGGAACAGTCATGGTCCTCCCATTTTTCATTGATTTGCTCGAGTGGGCCCAGTAACGTCTCCATTGTGAGACTTGTTGTTACTGTATTTGGCATATCGAATACATCACGGGTAGCTTGCCAGGCTTTGCCATGCGCGTGAGATACTCTTGGTAGCTTGCTGGGGTCTCTAAGAGGGGCGGAGGAATCAAACTCGGGTCGGCCATGTTGGCTGCATGCAAGGCAAATGCCCTACCCCCTGTGCTATCGCTCCAGTCCTCCGCCCCTCTCATAGAGGCAGGCAAGCTATGGAGAGTATCTTGTCCTTACGGCAAAGCCTGGCAAGCTACTCATGATGTATTCAATATGCCAAACACAGTAACAAGTCTCTCTTTTAAGGAAATTTTTGGAATATTTTTAATGCATTATTCATAATAAGTCATACAAAATAAATTATTTAGGACCTGCATTTGGGGCAGGCTTGGGTGGTGGTGGAAAAATTTGAAACAACAGTGGTGGAAAGGAGTTATGGTGGTAGAACTGGTATTGGAATTTTGAATATAATAAATTATTGTGAACAATGTTTTTTAAATAAAATAAAATTTAAAAAAAAGTCAACAAAATTTCATCTGTAGTACATCGCCCTAGACCTCCTCAAAAACACATTCACACCAATCAAATGAATAAATCAAGAAATCAAAGCAATAGAGAAGCAATGTAGATCAACAAACAAATGGAAAGTATGAACAATCTTAAGTATCTACCAAACAACAGACAGTTTTAAGGACTCCACAGACAAAAGACAAGAGTTTAGTTAAATATATTACAACCCTATGGGCAGGAAAGGTAGTACAGGGGTTAAAAAACTTTCCTTGTAGGCAGCTGACCTCTGTTCAATCCTTGGCACCACATAAGGTTCACTGAGCCTTGCCAGGAATGATCCTTGAGCACAGAGCCAGGAGTAATGCCGAGTACAGTCAGGTTTGCCCCCAAACTCCCACCTGCATCCCAAAGTAGCATTCTCTGCAGAGGGCACTATTGTTACCCCCATTCTGCTGATGAGAAACATGGCAGTGAGCGCTGGGGTCCCCTGCCCACAAACACATGGCTGCTAAGTCATGAAACCAGACTCTGACTTTAGCTTCTGTGCTGTTTTGTCTTTCTCTACATCTTCCAGCAAAAACAAACCCAACCACAGCAAATTATAATTGCAAAGCCCACACCATTTGGTTTCTCGTTTCCCCAGAGCCCTCCCTTCATCTGTCTCTCATCTCGATTCTACCACCAGCAAAAACTTCTCATAAAACAAATTCAAAACATAAATGATGTCTCTTGCTTGAAAATGGCTCAAGGGCGCCCTGCTGCCTATGTCATAGAAGTTGAACAAATGCCCTGAAATGGCATTTAAGGTTTTCCCACTATGCCCAACTCACTTTTTCTCACCATCTTGATTCCTTCCTTCCCTCCCTCTCTCTGGAATGCCCTTCCCTCTGGAGAATTCTCCACCCACTGGATTAAGTGTGCACTGAAGTTCTCACAAACTTTCAGTGCTCCCTAGGATAACCCTTGCTGTGCTCGCCAGTTCCTGGAAAGAAAATACAGGGTGAACTTATTTCCCAGCAACACACACAGTGCCTGCAGTTACAGATGCTCAAGAAATCTTCTGACTCACTTATGAGCTGAGTGCTAGCATGGAAGCTGGCAAAGACCTCAGGAAGACTTTGAAATTTCACTCACGATCAGCTTCAGGGTTGCAGCACTAAGTCAAGGAAAGCCCAGAGCTGAGCCTGATCCCATTAGCCCACCTGTGGGGCTAGCCCTGGGGGGCCGCTCTCCTCCTTCCCAAGGTGCTCCTGACACCTCCCAATGTGCTGCAAACTCGCTTATTTGAGGCATCAGTACACCTGGGTTTCCTTGGTGATTATCACAGATTTTTTGCAAATCCAAAGGTGTCAGGAGATGTAACATAACATTTCAGAAGAGGAGCCAGTTGCTTCTCACAACCAATGCTCACAGCTCGCCTGGGGTGTGAGGTTACAGCACGGAAAAAGCTGCAAACATTCCCTTATTTGCGACGGTCGTTTTCTTTTGTAAGCAGCTCTGTTGTTGGCCCTGGGTTGCCAGCTTTGAGTTATATTTTACTCTTATTTATGCTGTCAGGAGTATTTTAAAATTCTTTTATTTATGCAAGTTTATGGCTGCTCCCCAAGGCCTGGGAGCCATACTTTATGGCTACATTGCATTGAAGCTTATCTCCTGTAGTTAGAAATAAATTTATTGCTGCATTAGCTGTTGCTTTGTTTTTCTTGTTGGCTACTGAAGGGGGAAATGTTTAAACGTTTAAACTTAGTGACATGTGAAAGTGAAAATATATAAATGAGAAGCTCAATCTGAAGAAGGATAAAAGACCCCCTAGTACAACAAAATAAAAGCCTGGTATCTCCT